CCTGATCCACGTGGGCTACGTCTCCACTGGCGTGATTTTCTGGAAATGCTTTTAACGGAAAAGTTTTCCATTAAAAGCATTTTTGGAAAAGCGCGTCTAGATTGGCAGGACGCTTTTCTGGAAAAGCACTTTTTCCGGAAAAGCGTCCTGGCCAATCTAGACGCGCTTTTCCACAAAAAAGCCCCGATCGCCATTTTAGCCATCGGGGCTTTTTTTGTGGAAAACAGAACTATGCTGTCTACACTGGCCCTTTCAGGCAAAAGTCTTTCGGAAAATGTAATGATTTTACATGAGATCGTCAGTACTTTTGCGGAAATTCAAGCGGCCAGTGTAGACAGCTGGCAAGTTTTTCCGGAAAATCAGATGATTTTCCGGAAAAACTTGCCAGCGTAGACACAGCCGGGGTGTCAGGGTTACAGAAGGAACAAGTTCTCGGGGCTTTGTGATACCTGGCCGAAAGAGCCACCCAGGTGGGGTCTTGCCCGGCAGCCGGCGTGCATTTTAAGGCCAGGCCAAGCACTTGAGCAGTGTTTCTCAACCCTTTTTTATAAAGTATCCCTTGAAAAATAATATGAACCCTCAGTACCCACAGTTTTCAGATGCAGAATTTTTTTCGACCATTGCAACACATTTGTTCAAACAACTTAATCACAGCTGGGTGGGCAGTGAAATGTTTGGGTGTAAAAAGTACACAAATAACACACTACAACTTAACACACAAGTTCAGTGTTCTCCAAATCACAGCCGTGCTGATGTGCCCCCCAGACTTCTCTCGGGGACCCCACGGCTACTCGTACCCCTGGCTGAGAAACACTGGCCTAGCGGACAGATGGCCGTGAACAGGCCTGCACTGGCTCTATGGGGCGGCGTGGGGTCCTAGGTGAGCCCGGTGGAAACCAGATCCTGCTTTTCGCTGCTGCTTTGCTGAGGGTGCCCTGTTGCCAGGGAGGGTGCAGTCCGGAGGAAGTACGACCTTTTGACCGTGGCCGTTTCCGCCCAGCCTCTAGAAGAACCTCTGTACCATCCAGGAACAGCCAGCTCCAAGCTAATCTAATCTCTTCCAGGAAAGGCCACGCAGCAGTGCAGGTGCCTGGCAGGTGTAGCCCTGCGGCTCCTTTCCGGGGGACCTGCCTGCTGTCCTGCTCAGCAGCTGTGCCTTCCACGCCCACGGAGGGGGCAGGCCTGTCCGATAGCGCTGGGGTCGGCCGCTAAGGCAAACAGGGTTGGTGTTTGCATGGCAGGGCTACGCTGGGGCATTCCTCTGCATTCTGCTTCCTGCTGCGTCTTGTTCGCTCCTCCCTCTCCCGCCGGCCCGCCTCCCTCGCATGGGGACTTATCTGCCGAGCGAGCATCCCTCTGCGTCGGGCGTGCGGAAGGCTCGGGGGCAACGCCTCGGAGCGGGCGGATCGCTTCGGGTGTCCTGTGAATTTGGAAACGGATCTCCCCCTCTTCGGGAGGGGACCCTCCTGGCCCTGGCGTGTCTTTTGCTGGCTGCAAATAAAGCGGCACAGGGCTGAGGCTGAAGATGCACAAAGCATCCTCTCCCTCTCAAAGTCCTCTCCCTTCCCCCCGAGCATGCTCTGTGGCAGGGAACACTGGAGAACGTAGGCCCAGGGAGGGAGCAGGGCAGAGAGGCTGTTCGCAAGAAGCATGACGAGTTGGGGAATAAAGGCAGCCTGACAGCTGGCCAGTGGGAGGAACCTGGGAACCAAATGACTAAAGGTTGAACCGGAGTCAAGATCACAAGGGATGGGGGTGGGCAGAGTAGAAGGGTGGGAGGAAGGGGACAGAGAAGGGAGGGAGAATTTTGACTTGCTGCTGATGCTGAATATCTGTGTGAGAGAGCCCTGGAGGTGCCTGGGACAATAGGGGGTCTGAGGGGCTTGGCCCCGAGTGTTGCTCACAATATCAGGGCAAGGTGCTGGCGAAAGAAGGTGCACACCCCTTGGCGGAGTGCCTGGCCGGCCTGTGGGCAGGAGGAGAAGGCGGATGCTGGCCTGCAGGAAGGTGCTGAGCCTCTGGGCCGCCTCTGGAGAAGAGAAAGGTGGTTGTCTCTGGCCCATTAGACACCCCTGCCCCGTCTGAGGGCCCAGCCCAAAGCCTGGGTAGAAGGAAAGAGCTGAGGCTTGTGCGCTGGGTGAGGAGAAAGGGCTTGAGGGCCTCCCCCCAGTCCTGGTGGCCTCCCAGCCCTCCTCCGATTGCTGGTCCGAGAGGGACAGAACCTCCATGAGCTCGAAAGACTCACCCCCATTCCTCTGGCCCTGGGCCCGAGCTGGGAGAGCAGGGTGTTTCTGGAACGAGGGCCTCGTATTTGGAGTCCCAGGTTGCCTTAAAGCTGCTTTGTGCATGTCGGGCCATGGTGGTCGGACGGCGTGCGAGGGGCTGTGGTGGTCGGACGGACGGTGCGGCGGCCTGCGAGGGGCTGTGGTGGTCGGACGGACGGTGCGGCGGCCTGCGAGGGGCTGTGGTGGTCGGACGGACGGTGCGGCGGCCTGCGAGGGGCTGTGGTGGTCGGACGGACGGTGCGGCGGCCTGCGAGGGGCTGTGGTGGTCGGACGGACGGTGCGGCGGCCTGCGAGGGGCTGTGGTGGTCGGACGGACGGTGCGGCGGCCTGCGAGGGGCTGTGGTGGTCGGACGGACGGTGCGGCGGCCTGCGAGGGGCTGTGGTGGTCGGACGGACGGTGCGGCGGCCTGCGAGGGGCTGTGGTGGTCGGACGGACGGTGCGGCGGCCTGCGAGGGGCTGTGGTGGTCGGACGGACGGTGCGGCGGCCTGCGAGGGGCTGTGGTGGTCGGACGGACGGTGCGGCGGCCTGCGAGGGGCTGTGGTGGTCGGACGGACGGTGCGGCGGCCTGCGAGGGGCTGTGGTGGTCGGACGGACGGTGCGGCGGCCTGCGAGGGGCTGTGGTGGTCGGACGGACGGTGCGGCGGCCTGCGAGGGGCTGTGGTGGTCGGACGGACGGTGCGGCGGCCTGCGAGGGGCTGTGGTGGTCGGACGGACGGTGCGGCGGCCTGCGAGGGGCTGTGGTGGTCGGACGCTGCGGCGTGAATCTGGAGTGAGCCGTCTAACTGGACGCCCCCCACATCGGCACCTCAGCGAATGAGGCAGGGATGGTCTCGTCTGACAGGAAGATCCACCTCGGTTTTAAACATCTGTGCGCCCGCTGGCTCGTCACTGCTGTAAATGCCGCTTTGTTTGGGGCCCAGTCCGGCTCCCGCTGCAGTTGGTGGCCGTCTCCACGGGGAGCTGGCCCGGCTGTCGCTGAGCAATAGCCCAGCTGCACAATGAACGTGGCCCGGGTCTGCAGGCCGAGTCATGGGAGATGGGATCGTGATGCTCGTGTGCCCGGGGAACGAGTTAGCTCTGCCGTCTCCTGACTCCGGAGGGTCTCACTCCGCAAGCTGGACATTCTTCTCATGCAGCTTGTCCTTGGGGTCCCGGATCAGCTGCGATCCTGCCTAGCTCTATAGGGCTGACCGGACAGTCTGAAACCCCGGGCAGAGACGTGCCACCTCTCCCTAGGCCAGCTGCAGGGCTGGGGGCTGGCAGAGGAGCTGTTGCACCTTCTCTAGGCTCCCTGACGTTCCTCCTACCAGGTGTGGCTCTAACAGCTTTAGGGACACTTGGTGTCACCGGAGCAAAGCACAGCAGCCTCGTACGTGGGCTGGACTGACAGTCCCTCCCCGCTGGCGCAGTGTAGCATAGACAGGCTGCAGCAAATACAGCCTGCTCTTCTCCTGTCCTCCTGCATGGTGCCCTGCCGTACCCCCGTCCCTGTCGGATGCAGCTCGTGGTGCCTGTTCCTGTTCTGTTGGAACTTGGACCCGGGGTGAGCGGTGCCTGGCAACCCTGCTCTGATAACTCTCCTTCCGAGCCGCTCGTCACCTGTTCCAGGGCAATAAAACTCCTAGTCAGGGATCCAGATGAGGATGGAGGGAGGAGGTGGCGTGTGTTGCCCTGGAAGGACAGCTGCTTTCTGGGTGCACCCAGAGTCTGGCGGGTCTGCAATGCTAAGGCCTGACGAGTGGACTCTGGGGGAAGGCGCTTTGTGCACCCGGGGCTTAGAAAGCTGCCCTGCTGACCAGTGGGGTCTCCAACCCGCTTCATACACGTGGGTTCTGCTGTGCGGGTGCGAGCGGGCGCTCGGCCTCCTGCCCTCACCCCGTCAGCCTGCTGTCAACCAGAGCGAGGCGCAGACGCCCACCATGCAGGGACTGTGTCACTCGGAGGAGCAGCCTCCTAGGTTACGTGATGCGAGTGATTCATGGACCTTAAGAAACAGCCCACATGTCTCGATATCGCAACTCTTTGCAGCTCCCTGCTGGCTGGAAGCTGCCGGGCAATTTTCACACCCACTAGAATTTCCATTTCCCCTTGGCGGAGGGGTCAACGCCCTTCCCTTTGGCCCGTGACGGCGGGCACTCCCAGCCCTTCGCTGTTCCTTTCGAGGTGGGCCGGAGGGCGTCTCTCCGCGCCTGGCGCCTGCACAGTGGGCAAGTCAACTCCAAAGTTAATGCACCATCCCAATCCCTGGAGGTGGCCAGGTGCAGCCTGGGATGAAGGATAGCTGCTTCCCGTGCTTAATGGGTGCAAAGGGGCCTGTGGACACTCTTATTCTGAATTCACTGAATCCACTTTGAAAATGGATTAAGCTAATTTTGAACAAAACATTTCCATTCCAGAATACGAGCCTCCACCCAGGGAGTTAATGAGGAAAAACGATTATGCTTTAAATTTGCACCCTGCCTTAATCTGAATTAACATCCCAGTGTAGACAGGAGTGTGTCTGTTCAGTGCCTCCATTTCTGGTGCAGGTACATTACCTTCTGCTCTCAGAGCCTAGGGCTGGAAGAGACCTCAGGTCATCGAGTCCAGCCCCCTGCCCAAGGCAGGACCAACCCAACTCCATCATCCCAGCCAGGGCTTGGTCAAGCCAGGACTTCAAAACCTCTAGGGATGGAGATTCCACTCCCTCCCAATGGATCACTAAAACCATCCTGCAGGGCCATGTTACTGGTTTAGAAATGTGCCTGCCCATGTCTCTTTCTGCTGGAGAAGTAGCCCCATTGGCGGGTACGTAACCACGCCCCATCACTTTTGGTTTACAGATGGAAATCGGAACGCGCCCCCAGCAGAAAGCAAACCCGAATCTGTAGGGAAGCAGGGGGAGCGAAGCCCCTTTTGCTACTCACCTGGACAGTTCTTCTTTGAATACCTCGTCGTGGTTTCACTGAAGAAGAAATCAGGGGGTGACTATGAACCCACGATAGCCTATCAGTTCCCAAAGGTAAGGAGCGCTGCCCTGGTTCTGCAATGTGCACGGATTTATTAGACGTCGCCTCAACACCTTTGAGGCTGTGGGCAGCCTGAGCGTGGATTACAGCAGCCCCGAGGCCATTTGAACTTAGCTGGAGTTTGGGGAACACGCTGGCTCCCAATGGACCCAGAATATAGGAAGCACAAAATCTAGGTTCCCCCAGGGAGTAGTTGGGTGCTAACCTGGGGCCTCCTCCTGTCCACCCTGGAGCCAGTCAGCTGTTGGACTGTGGGCTAGCAGGGACATGCTCCTCCAGTCCTGGGGCCCTGCCGACGCCCCCCCTCCTCCAGACCCACAGAACCCAACGGCAGAATCCAGATTCATTTCCCTTGGGCAGCGGCCGGGGCTGGATCCTCTTTTACGGCGATTTTACTTCTAGAATCATTTTCGTTTCAGCGCGAGAACTTACTGCGGGGCCAGAAGGAGGAGGAAGAGAGGCTGCTCCAAGCCATCCCCCTCTTCTGCTTCCCTGACGGCAATCACTGGGCCCCCCTCACCGCATACACCAGGTAGCCTGATGGATCCGGCGCAGGGCCGGGCGTGGGGAAGGGAAGGCGCATGGGTTGGGAGAATTTCCCTGTCTCGCTTCTGCAAAATCAAACCAGCCCTGACTGAGATTTCAGTGTTCGCTCTGAACCACTGCTGCTTATCTGGCAAGCGCTCCGTCAGCCCATTGCTCCCGGCTCCGGGTCTGCCCCCAGCTGGTCAGCGGTCTATCGATTAGTCCCTCGCTAGCTATTATTCATTGTGGTAACAATAACACCCGGCTCTTACCAGGAGATCTCCGAGCACCTTACAACGGAGGTCAGAGTCACTACTTTAACATTCCAGAGGGGGAAACTGAGGCCCAGAGTAGGGCTCTGATGTGTCCAAGAGTTGGGGCTAAAACCCAGTTCTCCTAAGATCCCATCTGATTGTCCTGCGTGCTGCCAGCCCCGGTGACAGCCTTGTGCTAGGAGCTGGGTGGTCCTGTCTCAGGGCGCTGACAGTCTAAGGCAAAGGAGGGCAGGGGGCCAAGCTGGGAGGAAGTGCCATCGTGGGCCATGCTGGGGACTCAATCAACAAGTGTCCAAGAGTTGGGGCTAAAACCCAGTTCTCCTAAGATCCCATCTGATTGTCCTGCGTGCTGCCAGCCCCGGTGACAGCCTTGTGCTAGGAGCTGGGTGGTCCTGTCTCAGGGCGCTGACAGTCTAAGGCAAAGGAGGGCAGGGGGCCAAGCTGGGAGGAAGTGCCATCGTGGGCCATGCTGGGGACTCAATCAACAATGAGCAGCCACGAATAGTGGCCGGGTCACGAGTGGCCCTCCGCCATCTCAGGGGGCTGCCGCAGC